GGATAGAATGACACTCGTGTCGACTTGTGTCATCAAATGAAAAGCACCCATCAGAGTCTGGCCAAGTCAAACTTTTGATTGGTCAGTTTGGTCAACTCTAGCTAAAATTCAATAACTATAATTGAGGAAAAAATAGAAAAATACGTGATAAAGACTGTTTGAAATATTTTTTTATTTTTAACATACATTATACATGGACTGATTATCGTACCTTTTAAATACTTGAACACAATTTCTTTTATTAAAAATTCTTAATCTTAACACTGTAAATGTAGCAATTATTATGAAAATATATTATAGCAAAATGAAGTATCACATTTAACATTATTACAATCTTTTATTAAAAATAATTTAGTATCCTTTACCTTCTTAAAATATTTTTATTAATATCGAAACATTTATTCCGATGTTATACAAATTTTAATGTTTATATTAACAAAATATAAAGAATTTTTTGAGTAACACTTCAAATGCCCTAACTTTGTAAATTAATAACTTAAAATAGTTTCTAAACCAGTAGATTATTGTAAATAAACAAGTTTTTAACATACTCTAAAGAGCATAAAATCGTTTAAAAAATGACTAAAGATGATTTAATTGTTGTATAAAGATATCTTTTAGTGAAAGAATATTATGATTGCGACGAGAAGATAATTAAAAGGCGACAAATTCGCATTGCTAATCATTATTTTTATAGAGACTCTTTAATCAGAGACTAACTCATAAGGATTTTGTCAAATTCCTCAAATTTCTCTGAATTTGTCGAAATCCTTATAGCTAGTATCTGATTAAAGAGTCTCATCCATATCTTTATAGCTATACATGAAATATTATATATAGTCTAATTTCTATAGTTAAGCTAGAATTACAAACGAATATATGATACTGAATGATTATTATTATTCATTACACATTAAGTACCTTTATAGCATATAAAATAATGAAAATTACATCTATAAATGATAAAAAGCAATGAGAGTGCTAAAAAGTGACAGAAAAGTATAAAATATTTTGGAAGATGGGGACATCGTACCATTACAGGCGTCTTTAAGACAAAGGGCGCATTGTTCCATTTTGCCTAACAAGCTGACCTTTAGTTTCTCTTCCATTGCTTTACATGGATCAATAACTTCTGTTTTAGCTGTTTGGCACGTTCTTACAATAACGTCTTGTTTTGCAACTGAAAAGATATATTTGCCTGAACTATGCTAAATAGGTATATTTTATATCAAGATTTTATCATGTAATTTTATAATTTGCAAACATTTGTAATTGCTTACTCTTAATGACCATTTTAGCACAAGCTGTATCCTTGGGAGGACCTTGATAATGTTGTAACATGTCATCAACTTCGAAAAGCCGTGCTAACGGGTTGAGGATATTGTGTTGTTGGATGCTTCGCTGCCATTCCACCATATTACTACCAGTACATTCGATTGGTTGTAATGAATTTGTTTTCATATCGGAATCACAACCATCGTTTGATAATGAGGTGCACATGTAGCATTTTAGCACATCTGTATAGAAAAAAATTACTTTAAATAAACATACTATCTTAAACTAGAATTTCTAAAGTAAAAGAAATAATTACTTTTAACAATAAAATTCTTGAGATTATAGAAACAAGACCGCTTATATGAATGCATCATAACCAGTGTTGGGGAAGAAATAAATTCAATGTAAATATTTGTGTAAGAATAAAGTAAAAAATATTATCTGAAATAATATGTATATGCAGTGTCTAATAATTAATAATAAGACTCTCGCATAGAGGCAGAATGGATTATACTCAGAAGAAAAGTATTCTATCATTTTGCAATTTTTGCAATAATTAGTTATAAATAATTTTGATCTCTTGCAATTTTTTTTGTAAAGTTGATATTTGAGTAAAAAATTATTGAAAACCAATATTTAGCAATTTTTAGTAATTAATACTTTGTTAATTATTGCGAAAATTGTAAAATGGTAGAGGAGTTTTCTTCTCAGTTTAATCTATTTTACCTCTATGCGAGAGAGTTTTATCATTATTTATTAGACATCTTATATATTTTTTGCATATTAAATATAAAATATAATAATATTTGAAATCTCTCTCTCTCTCTCTCTCTCTCTCTCAGTATTTTGCGTAGTAAATATAAAAAATGCAAATAATATTTATTATTCACATTAACAATATAGGTAAAAGAAGAAGTGTAAACGCTTTTTACGTTTCGTTGTTTCAATTTTCGCTCTCCTATAAGAAGTCTCGTTTATGCTTCTATTACTCCCCCGTTACATTATTCGACCTACGTCCCGATTTTTATTTTCATCAGGGAAGTTGCTAAATATTGGCCTATATTTAATACAGATAATTACTTAATTATATCATGTATGATATTTGCTAATGAGTTTAACGTTGGCCACATCGTCTGGAGATACCTTTTATCATCCAGAGAAAGATTTCTTCGATTCAAAGAAATGTTTCTTTGCTATACGATTAAAGAAAAAATTTCTTTGATTTGAACATTATTTTTTTAAATTAAATAAAAAAATTTATTTTATTTAAAAAAATTATATTCAAATAAAAAAAATGTTTTCTTTAGCCGTATAGCAAAGAAACATTTCTTTGAATAGAAGAAACTTTTCTCTGGATTATAAGACATGTAACGCAATAGTTTCTTTTCTTGTGATTTTTCTTCTTATAAATACATGATTGCCTTTGGTATGGGTTATTTAACGTAAGACTATAAAGATTAAGTTAGCTTAGTCTTTCTCACACACAAATGTGCCGGATTACGATGCACTTCTATTTTATATTTAAAATCACATTATATTATAAAAAGAATAAAAATAAAAAAAGTATAAATAAAACTAATTTAGGAAACTACAAACATATAAAATAATGCAATGTAATATTATAAAAATATAATCATAATTATTTAAACTATGCAATTTGCAAAAGAAAATTATATAACACGCAAAAAAAATATTTTGCTGCTCCAGAAATTTTATGCTATAATTTTTATGCTATAACTGCAAGATCACTTTTTTTGAGTGAAGAACTCCATTTTCGCATTTTAGAGTTTTGAACTGATTTTGTATGAAACAAGCCATAGTGTATGAATTATGAATTGTTATTTCTTTAATTATCAAAATAGATTATGTTTTTATCAGTTATTGCATTGCGCGCCTAAAGAATTATTTCATCCTTGTTGTTCTCAAAGAATGTTAAACAAATATAAAAATATGATACATGCGCATTATGCATGTAACGGAACGCAGCCAATATTAATAAAATGCAATAATTTCCAAAAAATAGGGGGATGTTTCTTTAAGAGACCCTAGCGACTTTCCTCTATTGTTATAGATAAAATAAAACGTTACCTGAATAAACTGTTATAATGAAGATTGAAGCGAAGAGTAACGTTGCAATTACTCGAGGCATTTTGCTTTCTTGATCGAACAACTTTAGTCCTTCCAATAAAAACGTAAATTATATATTTAGAGGATAGCGCTGTTTGAGGGTGATGTTGTGTAGACAGACTGATCGTGAGTACATGAGTTCTCGTTCTTCACACTGCGTTGCTTAACGCCCACTCCTACTCCAGATCTTTCCCGACATTTCACCCTCTACTGTTCACGCAACTTTTCCGTAAAATGCGATGCGCAGATTCCACCCGCTCTGGATTCCTCTTGCTATGTAATATTGTAAGATTCTAAGTAGAACTTACTAAAGCTGCAGTATAAAAAAAGTTGATAAGCTTTATCATGCTAAAAACAAGGATAAAAAATAGATAAGACATTAAATTAAAGATATTTATTTTTTTTTACTATCCTAGACAAAATGAAATCAATCGCAATATTAATCTTGTAACGGCACACTTATTTTCAATACCTTGAAGAGATACATATAAGTCATTTTGTGTCAATCCGATCTTAAGGCTCTTAAAGTACTCGAAAGTTTGTAAAAATTCACATATGTTTTTTAAGGTCTCTTAATTAAATTATTTTGCTTAATTATTTTTGCTAAATTATTTGTAGACATGGCATTATAAAAATTATGGAGATATGTATGAGAAATAATAACTATATATTACGAATGGCACGGATACGAATATAACGAGTAAAGTAACGAGGTATTTTTTTCAATGAAAAATGCGTTATAATGATGAGTTATTTTCAAAAATGACTATATATCGGTCAATTAATATTGACGGCGAAATCAATAAATCTGCTAAATGCTATGTCGATTAAAATATTATCAGTGATTTCATACAAACCCGTTTTTTCTAATATTGTTTTTTTTATAATAGAATACTTATTAATAAAATTATTCGAGATAATAGTCTGAAAAGAATTAGTTTGACCTTTAAAATATACTAAATCGCACTAAATTGATATAGAATCTATTATGAATTTATACGATTTTGAAAAATCGCTGTTAACCATAATCAATACGTACACACGTACAAAGAGATATATGGCACAAAACCGTTAGGGGAAAGTATGGAAGCGGGAGACGCCCGGCGTCGTGGCGCCAACACAAGTCGTTGTCGGCGTCAACGTGACGCCAGTGACGCCGTCTATTTAATCTACAATTTTGAGTTTAACTACTAAACAAATTTAAGTTTAACAAGTAGAAAAAATATCTCGACATACACATCTTTCTTTTCAATCTTTTTTTCTACTTATACTCTTTATAGTTAATATGCCATTTTCTGTTCTTTGTTTTTGCTGTTATAGATATAATCGATAACCTAGTGTCTATATCATAATTGATAAAATAAAAGCTGTTGCTTTATATGTATAATATACTGCGTCACAAATACTTTGGGTGCGTTCTGAGTTACGCATGAAGCGTATGATGTATCGTTTTATTCTTCTTTATTATTTAGTAAACAAGGACAAATGATGCATCATGCACTTTATGCGTAACTCGGAACGCACCCTTTGACACACAAAATTGCACGAGTATCGGAGAAGAAATGAGAAGAAGGACATAAGACAGAATGAGAAGACATGAAAAGTCATATAATTAAAGCGTTTGTCACGCCGTATGTATATACATATAATATCTATGCGTACTTATACATTAACATTATCTTTTGGTAGGATAATGTTAGTTATTTAATGACATCGAGATAATATAATAAGTTTTGTTAGTCATTTAATAAAATCAAAATAATTTGACAGATTTTTATTAAAACACTCGTATCAAGATTATTTCTTATTATATTATTCCCAAAGTGGATAATTATTTACTATAATACATAAATTAAAATGATTATTTGCAATAACATAAATTATAAGCAAGTGTCTTTTTTAAATTTATTTTTTAATTCAAGTTTATTTATAATTTGTATTCAATAGTATCAATTTTTAATTTTTACATTTATGTTTAACAAGATTAAACGCATATATTATATATTTTACATTAATTTTTTAATATTATCTCTAGTAAAATTACAAATAATATTGCAACTGATTATGCAACAAATAAATACGATTTGATTGCTATGTATGTATGTATGTATGTTGTGTGTTTGTGTGTGTGTGTGTGTGTGTATGTGTGTGTGTAAATCCATATGCACACGTGAGACTTATGTACAAGAAAAATAACATAACTGTATCTGGATTTATTATAGTTAAATGGATGCTTAGAAGGAAATTTTTTGAGAAAATTATGTTGGATCTTCTTACTAAATTTAAATCATTATGCCTGGTAATAAAATAATAATTAAAACTGTACACAGAAAGTAGATCATGAGATTGGGTGAGCATTGTTGAGAAGAATTGCAGCCATAACCCATACATTCACAGATAAGTTGATAACTATCTCGAGTGTAGCGTCCTTGATAACATTTCTTTTGGCTATTTCGCAATTTTGCGCATTCACGCATTATTATACTATTATATGAACCCATAAAATAATCTAAAATTGTAAGATTTGAATATTATTATATAACTCTCTCGAATTGTCGTTTTATTAATCATAAAAACAATTAATATACGTTATAAATTTATTCAAATAAGTAATTATAGTTAAATTTACTTACACATATAAACAGCTTTACGGCAATAAAAATGACCCGATGGACACAATTTTAAATATTTATAATGTACTTTATTAATGGAACAATCTTCATCCTTTTTACTGTTACATTGATAACATTCGGTTGCAGTGCATTCTTCTTTTAGTATTAATGTTGTAGATATATGAATGTAAAATAGTAGTTCAAAAACAAAAAGAAGCTATATTAATAAAAAATGCTTTTAATATTTATTTTGATATATAAAACTTTTTGTTATAAATTTCTAGTTAATTATTGATTAATTGATTAAATTATAAATTTCTATTCAAATAAGTTAGAGAGTATTAGGATTGCTTAAATTTTTCATTTTAGTGAAAGCTGCTAACTATGTTTTTATTGCTTACTATATTTTAAAGAGCAAGTTTTATATTCTTTAGTTAAAGCTCACCTCTTTGGAAAGCACATAGAATAAATAATATTCGCAATACGTATAATCTTATTTGCATTATAACTTGTTTTCCTTTATACAAATTATATAACATCAAAATAGTGTAACGGCTGTAAAAACAGAATTCATAATACATAAATATATTTATATTAATAATCTTTTGTAATAAATAATTGTTTAAATATTATAATGAATAAGATTTGTGCGTGTCTAAAGAAAACATATTATTACTTCAAATATTATATTAAAGGACAATACAAATCTATCATTCTATAATTGATTCATATTGTATTGTAATATTGATTCATATAAATATATAATATTGCAGTCGTTTCCGTAAATTTGTATATTTAATAAATGCATTACTTAATTATTGAAAAATATTCCTTACCAAATATTTCATTGCGTTTGAATAAATCTGAACTAAATGTAAAATTATTAGAAAATTAAATCTTATCAGACTTTGCAAAATAACCAATACTTTGTCAATTAAAAATTGTCGATAGGAAGTTAGCTACACAGACTGCGTTCTATTTAACGCTCGCAACGCTTGCGAGCACCGTTTGTCCTTGTTTAACATTTGATAAACGACAAGGATGAAATAATTCTACGAGCGTTGTGAGCGTTAAGTGGAACGCAGCCATAATAAGTCGATTAGAACTTGATTGATTCGATCTTTAATATCTGCATGCATAAAGCCTATATGCATAAAGCCTGTTTACAATAGAGTGACATTTTTTGACATTTTTTCCGCAAATTTCTTTTTATTTTAACATGAACGTCTTCTCGTTTGGAAAATAATAAAATCATATGTTTGGATTTTTCTTTTCCGAAAACATTTTATACACGTTTTTATTTGACATGTACTCATTTTCGCAATATGTCTTCAAAATTATCGCGGCAACTATTTAAATATGGCTGCATTTGATATGTGCGCAGAACCGTATAAAACTCGTCTCGAAAACGAGCACATCGAAATAAAGGAACATTTATATTGGCTACATTTATTATACGTATTTAACTTTTTTTATTAAATATTTTTATTAATTTACATTTACATTTAATTTGTATTTAATTTAGATCTTATAGTTTACGAAGTTTTGTAATAGTTATTTATATATCTATAAATTTTAAATTTATTTATTCTTTTATCATACATTAAATATATTTAAACTTCTTGTTGCTATTTGAGATAAAATTTATTGGCTGATTGCTCTGATTTTATGCGTATTGTTTCAACTGTATTCTTCCATCATATATAATACATGAGATGTTTTTAATCCATCGATCAATCGCACTATGCACAAATGTAGCGTTAATGAAGCAAAGTTGCATTTGCGCATAATTCGATTAATCAATTGATAAATTAATAAACTCATCTAAGGTTGAAAATAATTGGTTATTTATATAAAAATATTTTTAAAATTTTTTTATATAGCTACGAATAAAAGTATAAATTATATTTTTACGTTTTATCTTTTATTATAAATATTTAAATAATTAACATGATATGTAACATTATAAAACAAAATATTAATAGTGCAGATCGTAAATGTTGAAAGTATGTCATGTAGGTGTAATATAGAATCGCTAAAACGCTAAATACATTATTATTAACTATAATGAAAGATCTATTTAATATCAATTCGCACATACATTCTTATGTGTAGGTGTGTTATCTTGCTATCATATAGCAAGCAACAACGTAACAATTTAAAATAAAAGTAGGAACGATTTCATAATTGTACGCTTTCAAGAATATCGTGGTTATATATTTATTTACTATTTTTTTTAATAAATGTGCTTATTTTATCTATATAGTATCATATTTCCGAATTTTTTAATTTAGAATTACAATTTTTTCTTTGTGTTTGCAGAAAATATAAAATTATAAAAATTATCGAATTAGAAAAATACACGTATTATAATTTATAGTATCAGAGATACATAAATACATGCAGGATATATATGACACACTAAAATAATCTCACTGATACCGTATTCTATTTTTTCTAAAGACAGAAAGAGATCGAATAACATTATAGTTCTGGAAATACTTCCTTTTCGAGATATAAACTTTGTTTGTTTATTTAATTGTCAAAATGGATTGAAAAAAAAGATAACATTATTTTAAACTTTTGATTTTAACTTATAAATAAATATATATATAATATATATATATAATATTTACATCTCAGAAAATAAAAAATTCAAGATCAAAATTGGGAAATCTTGAACGAACTTGTGTAACAAATACGCGAGGTGACTACGTGTGACAGTTTCATAACGTTGAACGTGTCACAGGAAGATGAGCATTATCCACTCAACGTACTCCAAACTACCACTTTATTCTCTATTTGAACGTAAAGCTGCTCGTATTAGCCACAGCCTTATTTATTTAACCCACATATTCATGTCAATTCTTTGTGGAATGTTTCATCTTCCTTCTTAGTCCAAGTAAAAAAAAAACAGTTATTACTAATTAATGAACTTAATTATTTATAAGACCAAGGCTAGACCATATTATCTAATAATAGTATTGCGCCCGCGCAGCAATATTTATATGTAAATTCTAAATGCATTTCTAAACACACATCTTTCAGCTAAAGTAATACCACCAAAATTAAAATAATTATCATTATTTTTATCTTTAGCTTCTACGTTTCAAATCCAACAATACGCGGCGCACAATTTATATAATTAAAAAATATATTTATAATTTACATACAAATATTATTACCACACCAAGATCTAGCATTTTACGTAATATAACTTTTCTAGCCATTAAGATCTAGCCTCGATCGTATTGGTTCTTCCTTTACTTATTTGATATACTTATAAAACGATCTAAATTAAGATATTATTTTTAATTATTTGTATAATCTATTGTGTATATCAGAATTCATTTTGAAACAATAATTAATTGATAATTACCTAAATAATGGACGATGGAGAACAGTAATATTGCGATACGTTATGACTTACAATTGATTTTAAATTTCATTTTTATGATATAAATTGAACGCTCGGCGATATTTGTGCTATCATCAGTAAAATCCAAACAATAATTTCTATTAATTTGTACAAAGGATAGTCAGGCATTGGTTTCAAAATGCAGCAAAATGAGCCTTTTCAATTTGATATTTCAAAAGTGTAATTATCAATTAGTTATTCGATTAAATGAGCATCGCTGCAAATTGTGACATATTAAATAATAAAGTACGTATCGTAAAGTTAATATATACCTATAAATTATAAATTAAAGAAGTCGCTCTAGTCGAGCAAGTTATAACAGGATTATCCTGTTATCCCGTTGCTTCCCATCATTGCAGATTATGCATCAGATATTGTAAAAAATCAGATAATTTATCAGTGGTTTCTGAACACAGTATAAATAATCATGAGATAATGTCACAATCTTAGACATTGAGTTATCGTATAAAAGGTTGAGATTAGAAATGATATCTATCAAAAAACAGTATCATGGACTCAACAAAAAGAACAGTAATATGTTGTCTAAGGCCGGTATTCATAGTCAAATCTTATATTCAATCGTCTTAAATATAATCATAAACTAATCAGAGAACCGTATTAGCATCTTAAGACATTACTTAAGACTGTCTTAAAATAAGAACGAATTATAAACACCGCCTTAAAAGTTATTTGCATGCCTATCCTGGAAGGATTATTAAGAGTTTAACGACAGATAAATTTGTTCCGCTTTTTTATTTTAATTGCAACCATCTACTGTCACTAATTTTTTTTTATAAAAGATTAGAATGAACATTTTACATAACGTTATGTAATTTTACCTTTGTTGTTTGAAATATATTCTTTTGTTAATTTTAAAGAAACGTGTTGACTCTTACTTTGCCCGTTACTTATGGTCACTTGGTTTATATAGAAAGAGTCCTTTGATTTAGTAC